ATATGACTTGATAAAGTAAAAAAAATCTTTTATTGCTAATGTATAAAAATTAAAACTCATATTAATATTGTTCAACGAAAACAATGGATGAAAAAATAGAGAAAAATGCTCCTTGCTTATAGCCCGATTGGCCAAGCTTTTTTTGGGCAAAGTACTTTTTTTTCTTTCTTTTCTCCGAAGTTAAGTGTTTGGCCAAGTTTTTAGAAGGGCAAAAGTATTTTTGAGTAGAAGAAAGTACCTTTTTGAGGATTATTTAAGAGATAATATACTTAGAAGTATTTTTTAAAAGCCTGGTTAAATACTCAACAGTATTTTTCAAATTAATTAGTCAAATATAAATTATTTATCACCAAAAGTACTTTTTAAAAAATCACTTCTTTAAAATAAAAAAATTATTTTTTAAAATAAGCATTTTAGCGATTTAGCCAAACAGACTATTAGTTGGTTAAGGAAAATAATGTCACCTAGTTTGACTGAATTACCACAAATTGGCAACTCAAAAAGAAAAAAGGTCGTGTGTTAACTGTATAACAACCTCATCTGGAAATCCAGTGTCTTTAACAAAAACTCACTGGAACCAAAGCTAACCAGAGGCAAACAAAGCTACAAAAAATGGCTTCAGTTTTCTCTGTACACCCTTTACCTTCTTCTTCATTCCTCTGTCCACTCAAAACCACAAAATCAAGAACAAAGCAATATCAAACTTGTTACACTTACCAAAAACCAATCTTGATAAATTCACTTCAATTAAAACAACTTGACCCAAAAATACCAGAACCAGTACAAACATTTTGGCAGTGGCTATGTAAAGAAGGGGTTGTAACAGCTAAGACACCCGTAAAGCCAGGAATTGTACCAGAAGGTTTAGGACTTGTTGCTAATAGAGATATAGCTAAAGGTGAAACTGTTTTAGAAGTTCCTAGAAGATTTTGGATTAATCCAGATGCAGTTGCTGAATCTGAAATTGGGAATGTTTGCAGTGGATTGAAACCTTGGATTTCTGTTGCTCTTTTTTTGCTTAGAGAAAAGTGGAGAGATGATTCCAAGTGGAAATATTATATGGATGTTCTTCCAAAGTCTACTGATTCTACTATATATTGGTGGGTTTGCCTTTAATTTTTCTTTTTTTTTTGTATAATATTTTTTGTCCCTTGTTTGTTACAGTAGCTTTATTACATTACTTCTATGTTGCACGGACTCTCCAAAACAGTTGCAGCACCCGTTTCGGATACTCCAAAAATATACTACTTTTGGAGTATCCGACACGCACCCATCGACATTTTCGGAAAGTCCAAGCAACATAGCATTACTTAGTGTCAGTTGTGTGCTATTGTATTCTTAGACTTCTGTTATTACTTAGTGTCAGTTGTGTATTTTCTTAGTACTTGTTGTTGCTTTCATTTCGGTTTTGTGACTGCATTACTTAGTATTAGTCTTGTATTGTCGCTTCAGTTTTCCGATTGGTTTGCTTGTTGTTGCCCTTTCCTTTTATCTTTCCTGAGCCGAGGGTCTACCGGAAATATCCTCTCTGCCTTCTTAAAGGTAGGGGTAAGGTCTGCGTACACACTACCTTGCCCAGACCCCACTTGTGGGATTACACTGGGTTTGTTGTTGTTGTTTTGTATAATAAATACTGTTGTATTTGGAACTTGGAAGTTATGTTGCTGATGAAGGTTGCTTTGTATGTTATTCCAGTGCAGGTCTGAAGAGGAGCTCTCTGAGATTCAAGGTAATTTTGTTTCATTACTAAAAGGATTACTCCGTGACAAAATACTCGCAGTCTTCCCTTGCATTTTCCACATGAGTTTGTTTTCGTGCCTTAAACCCGTGACCTTCCCGCTACCAAAGCGAAACTCTACCATTGCATCAACGCTCGCACTCATTGTTTTATTATTTTTATTGTCTTAGAATTCTGGAGTATTGAGAGTTATTATTTGGTTACATAATCCCTTGAACTTGGTTTGTACGTTTGCAGCTTTGTATGCAATCTTGTATGTTATAGTCAAGTTGATGGTTTTCCTGTGACCTATGAAATTGTGACCGCTTATAACTTTGTTAGAGAAATCGGTATGCCTTTATACAGGATAGTTACCTGATTGTCTTGATTATACTCCATAATCAATATGTAGAATGGGATGCATTGTCTATAAGCGAAGATGAAACGGATCTTAGATAAGAAATGAGTTTCTCCTTGTTTCGCCAAATGAGAATTAAGGTTTTTTTCTGGGCATTTTTGATTAGTTTGTTTGTCGTGCTATGTTTGCAGGGACTCAACTGTTAAGCACGACGCTGAGTGTGAAAGATTATGTGCAAAATGAATTTCAAAAAGTAGAAGAAGAAGTCATACTTCGTAACAAGCAGCTTTTCCCTTTTCCTATAACTTTGGATGATTTCTTCTGGGCATTTGGAATACTCAGATCAAGGGCATTTTCCCGTCTTCGGAATCAAAATCTTATTCTCGTCCCCTTTGCTGACCTGGTAAGATTCTAGGTAAATGAAAATCACTTATATAGTGATGAATGACTGCTTACAAACTAGTATCAATTGAGACCGAGGACAGTTAACAGAATTTCTTTGTTTGTTAAAGTTATATTTGGATATTGCATATCATCATACTTCTGGATATACATCAATTGGTGAATAATGTTATATAAATGGTTTAATTGTCAGACAAACCACAATGCCAGAGTGACAACAGAAGATCACGCGCATGAAGTTAGGGGACCAGCCGGTCTGTTCTCGTGGGATTTGTTATTTTCTTTACGAAGTCCATTGAAACTGAAAGCTGGAGACCAGGTAAGGAGATCTTCAAAACTCAGAAACTCTCTTCACTAAGACAAACCAACTAGCTGGACAAGTTATTCTGCTTGTTTTTCATCGAAAAGCGAACATTGTAACAGCAGCCCGGTGCTCTAAGCTCCCGCTATGCGCGGGTCCAGGGAAGGGCCGGACCACACGGGTCTATTATACGCAGTCTTACCCTGCATTTCTGCAAGAGGCTGTTTCCACAGTTCAAACCCGTGACCTCCTGGTCATATGGCAACAACTTTACCGGTTGCGCAAAGGAAAAGCTAACATATTGTGAAAAATAATATTCATTACTTCCTGCCTCGTAATTGCATGTGTTATGTAGCAGTTGTTGTTGGTTCATCTAATTGCTACAGCTCACTTGTATAGATGTGGTGATTTGACAGCTTTTCATCCAATATGACCTGAACAAAAGCAATGCTGATATGGCGCTTGACTATGGCTTCATCGAACCAAGTTCAGCTCGTGATGCATTTACACTAACATTAGAAATATCAGAGTCTGACGAGTTTTATGGAGACAAGCTGGATATAGCAGAGACAAATGGCATAGGAGAAACTGCTTACTTTGACATAAAGATTGGACAATCTCTCCCTCCTACTATGATTCCATATCTGAGGCTGGTTGCCCTTGGCGGAACAGACGCTTTCCTACTAGAATCAATTTTCAGAAATTCTGTTTGGGGTCATCTTGGGTTGCCTGTTAGCAGAGCAAATGAGGAGCTCATATGTAAAGTCGTACGAGATGCATGCAAATCCGCACTTTCTGGCTATCACACCACCATTGAAGAGGTAAATTTACATCATTAGAAGTATCAGTTGAGTTGCATTGCATTCAGTAGTGGAGCCACATGTACACACCCCTTCGTCGGAAATATACACTGTGTAGCTAGGTAAAATATTTTTTTTATGGACGGTCAAACCTCTCTATAACAGCCTCGTATGTATAGAGAACATATATTATAACACAATATGAAAAATTGGTTCCAAAGAAAACTTGGTCGTTATAGTGAAGTGTTGTTATGAAGGATGGGTTGTTATAGAGATTTCTGACTGTATATATACTGCATATTGACACCTCTTGGCTTCTTCATGGATTTGCTTATTTATATTTGATCCCCTTTAGTAAAAATCCTGGCTTCGCCACTATTGCATTGCAAATCTTGGTCATGCACGTTTCATTGTTACCTACCTCAAACTATTGTACTAAATGCTATGAATAAAACGGCTTTATTTCTTTAGTATATGTAGCAAATGTGGTTTTATTTCCGGCATTGAACACTGCGTATTGCAGGATGAGAAACTGATGGAGGAAGGAAACCTCAGTACAAGGCTTCAGATAGCAGTTGGGATAAGATTAGGGGAGAAGAAGGTATTGAAACAAATCGACGATATCTTTAGGGAAAGGGAACTGGAACTAGATGAATTAGAATACTACGGGGAAAGGCGGCTTAAAGATCTTGGTCTCGTTGGAGAGCAAGGAGATATCATATTTTGGGAGCCAAAATAAGGACATTTCTGCTGATCTTATGATCAGTCTAGTTGAGTTATTATGGCTTGGACTTCAGAGTTTGCTTTTATATGATGTAAATAATGAAAGAGTGGTTGTATATTATCTTCTTGTGAAATCCTCAAGCATCAGAAGGAGAAGAGTTCAAAATAGAACAGTCCTCAGATTATTTCAAGGATCTGATTTTATGTGTTTAAGATTAGTCTAAGCAACTGAGACCTTTGGTTGAGGCTACCATTATCTTCCCATTGGGCCTCACATCTAAAGTTGTTACTTTCTGAAGAGTTCACATTTTATGCATAGCAATGTAAAAGATATTTACACAATCAGTTACTCGGGGTTAGGTTAGACCGCTTGGATTTTTTTTTTCTAGTATCAAAGGCAGTCAACGTGTTAGCCGTTCTTCTCCCATTGGACACGACGAAAATCTCCCTTTTTCCTATCCCAATGAGCTGAAACTAGAGGTCTCGAAGACCTTGCGCAAATTTTCGATGTGGTCAGTTCTTTCTTTTGAAAATACTACCAAATTATCCATGTAAAGCTCGCACATGTTATGTACTATATTAATTTGCTACTTCCTCTCACTTTCAAACAGAAAAAGATGCACTAGAACTGATAATCTATGGTCATCAAAGTATCAAACTCAACCAAGCTATCAGATTTCTCAGCACACAAAATTCGGATTTGCTTCAAGTACCCCTTTTGGGCATGACATTTAGATAAATATTCAAACTGTTACACTGTTTGCTCCACAAATTAGAGCAAATTTAATTGTAACAAGGGTTATCTTACTGTAAATAATTGTGGTATCATGTGACAATCAGCACAGTTCAACTTGTTGAAGGAAGCAAATACATATGAACAAAATGAATGAACACATTAACATGACACTTTCTTTTCTTTTTGACAAGTATGACACATTTGGTTTCTTCATTTTTTTCTGTTGCTTCTCCCAGTTACAAACTACCAATCTACGAAATTCACCTCTCCAAAATGCCCCGATGACCAAAGGCCGCATTCTGGCCTTTTGCTAACGGATCTCAAATGTGTATACCAACAACTTTACGCCTTTCGCTTTGATTTCTTCACGAAAGCCTGTCACATAACTATGGACTAAATATCCATGCAAGACATGCTCTGAATCGCATATCTCATCGGACCGCAGTTGAATTATCAGGGCCTAACAAATCATCACATCTTGCACTCTCGCACAGACACTCCTGTGGATTTGCATAGAAATAATCTTCTTCTTTTGGTTTGTCTGCAATAACTCTGCGACGAGTCGGCTGTCCCATTCTTCCCTCATGTGACTGCCGGACTGCAGCTGTAAACTCATCCCAGGTAAGTGTTCCGTTCTGATGCATATCTAACAGTTGTACAAGTCTTTTGCGATCCAATCGAATGGTTTTTCTAAAACCAAGATACCTGCAACGGATCTATTCAGGAATCCTTTGACATAATAGTTGTTAATGTTACAGAATCATTAACAGCGCAGTAGGTAATATGTACCTACGATGACCTTCAACAACTTTAGCCATGTTCCCATCATAAGTAGGAACAAATACATTACTAGCAGTTGACACTATAAAATCGAGGGCTGCCATCTGAGATGAATGATTCTGGAACTGCCGCAACTCCTCAGGATCAAGCAGCATTTCCTTTTTCACCTGATATTTGAACATAAAATTATAGCTTATATCAATCACATACCATGCCGATAGATAAAAGAATAATTCAGCTAACAATTTCCAGTTTTAGATGTAAAGATTAGCCACAACAAAGTCCTCAGCCACAAAAGCTGGCAGTAGAACACATCGAACATTTTTCCAGTTAAAAAAAAAAAGGTAGCCTGGTGCACAAAGCATCCTGCGTTCATGCAGGGTCCGGGAAAGGGCCGCGCCCCTAGGAGTGTGATGCAGACAGCCTAATGTAAGCATTAGTAGCTGCTTCCACGTAGAACATTTTCCAGTATATAGGATAAATTCCACATTTCCAGGTTCAAATGTCTCAAAGCATGTTACGTTGTCAATGTAGAATACTTGTTCCCGAGATACATGCAAAAGACTATAAAAAAATGCTGGCTAAGGCACCTTTTCCCTATTACAGGCCGCAGGTTATCGATAACGTTTAACAGCGCTAAGTTGGTAATTTAGATGTCGCGGCAAAAGACACAATCAGAGTAGAGGAGCACTAATCACTTACAATCTTTGGGAAGGCAGCTCTCAAAGCAGCAATCCTCCTTTCACCTCCATAAATGTCACCAGATGCAATATATATTTGTATGTCTTTTTCAAAACCCAATGCTTGCAGAATTAAAGCTGCCTCCTCTGGGGTGAGGGGACACAAGCCTTGAGATCTCCTCTCCTCAGATATAATCTCTTTCTCCTTCCACCAAGGGAATGCATACCTGAGGAAACGAAAGGAGCCAGAAAGGAATTTACTATATAGACAACAAGTTTCCGCGTTGGTCAAGATGAAAGAGTGAATATAGAGAAAATCATATTGGTCGCAGTGGAAGAACCAAGTGAAACCATTAAATCATTCAACAATGTTAATCATCAAATTCATTAGTACTGCTGCTACCATCAAGCTGCAGTTTAGCTGTAGGGGGCCATATACTGAAAAATTACATGGAGTTACATAAATGCTGCAACATCATCTCAATCAACAAACACCAAAAGCAAGTAAGCCAAAAAGTTGCGATCAAATCTTTGATACTAGACAGGTCCTTATATAGTGAAATTTGATCTGGCTGTTGACCATTACGTAAGTCTGTGCATAGGGAAATCGTAACATACCACCTGTGTTTTCCCTCTTTGTGCCTGGTTCGAATAAGTGGTTCAGGCAGAATTATATATATTTTGCACAAACAGATCTTGAAAGAACAAGAACTATGCCTCAATCCAATAGTAGTTGGTACCGGACATACGAATCCTCAATGCTCCTCTCATTCCAATACTCAACAATTAGCCTTTTACAACAAATTAGGGATCCCTCTTAACACTTGAGGCTCTGTACAAATTTCTGCTGACATACAAATCTCTAAACACTCTAAAGAGACACTCGAAAATCACCAGATTTAATGTTAAGCGTACCAACCAACTAGGCCTTTAACAACTTGGTTTCACTTAGAATTGGTGTTAAGGCTGGAGGGGTTCTAAGATTCTAAGAGATTATAGGTCTTTTGAGACTTCTTTTCATCTGATTTTGAAAAAAGAAAAAAGAGAATAAAACTAAAATACAAAAGTCGTTCTTAGATTATCACCTTAAACGTTTGAGCTCCTCAGCTTCCTCTTCAGTGCAGCCATGAGTGCAACCAGAGAATGCCAACATATCCATCTCATATCTTAGATGCAATGCTACAAATGGTCCTCTTGCCTGAAGCATACGTACCAATTTTTCTCCCAAAGCCTCAATCTCTGGAGTGAACTTCAGTGCCTGAAAATTCACCCGACATCTGAGTTTTTGAAGCTCAGGAGGCATCCCGTTGTTTGCTAGTCTAGTATCTGTCTTGTTGAAATGTATCACTTGATGCTTGCTGAAGAGAGGCAGAATCTGCATTGTGTAGTTCAAATGCATTAGAGCAGGATAAACAAATGTAGCTGATGCATAAATTGCAACAGAGGAGAAATATTCGATTGTCAAAGTATTAGAATCACTGTATACAGACTGATTCCAATATCAAAAGCAGTACATGAAATTACATACAGCAAACACAACGGTACTTTGCATGTTGAGATGTATCTCGCCAAAACTTTATTATTTAAGCATTAGTCTTCGAAGTAAAAATGACGATGTCCACAGTCATGAATTGATAATATGATAAAGTTGTATTGCATAAACAAGTAGATAAACCTGTTGCAAGTAGTATTTTTCATTTGACCAGCTAACAGGAGGCATTACTAGTGGTTGGTATCCATATCTCCTGCTGAACCTCTTTGGCAATCTCTTTATTATCCGAACTTCATCTCTTAGCGAAGCAATGAAGTGTCTCACATCAAAAATATCATCAAAATTGCTGCCAAGAAATGTTACAGTGATAAGAAAATGAAGCAATAGGTCAAAGAAATACTTCTACATAGCACCAGAATTACCTAGGATCTGCCCAGAAAGATGTTTTATCAAGCTCCGGGACAACCAAAGTTAGATTCAGAAGCCGTGCAACAGTCACCATGTCACAGATCTACACACAAAAAATGGCGGAATTATTTACAGATTAGGAGTACGGATTGAAATTATGGGAGCCTACTTTAGTTTGAATACAGTTTCCAGAGTTCCCAACTTCCTTGCCATTTGAATTGAATATTAATGTATAAAGAAAAAAGCGGAAGAACAATACTAACGGCTGCACGCATTTGATTCAAGCCACCATTGCAGGACACTTGAAGAAACCCATTATTTGTATAATTTCCTGCATAATATCATGTATCAACGTTTTATATATGTTAGAAGATGCAGAATTTGAAACTCAAAGAAAGATACAGTTCCTATAAATATGTTAGACGTATGGGACTGGGTGATGGTACTTTTGGTCACTAAATATTCAGTTAGTACAACGGCAGATATAAATTTCTTTTAGATAATTAAGTAATCTTTAATTGATGCATAACAGCACTAATCATCCCTAAAAGTGTGTTCACGTCTAGCTCCTTATGGTTGAGACATTTCTTTTTCTCTTTTTATTACTTCCTTGCTGTTGATACATTTTGTTTAGCAGCATTAATTTGCAAAACTTCAGAAAATTTTGTGTATTTACGACTCATGCTAGACGACTAACCCTGGGAAAATGAGAATATTATGACACTTTTCACGTTATTTTGAATTAAGAAAATTCTGTCTTAAAAAAAGTAAGCTGTAATAAGGAATGCTACAGAGAGGATTAGAGAAGAAAGTCTTTCATCCAATCCCTTTCTCGCCTTTCCTTCAAGGGAACACAATGTCGTTTTGTTTTTATCTCTAGAAATTGCTTTCTACTAATCCAATTGATTGTTCCTCGACTAGCCTATCTTAGATCCAACGAGCGACTTCATTAGCTTATCAGAATATATTATTTTAAATGGAAAAAGTATATTCTGAAACGCACACGAAGTCACTCACTGCATCTATGCTAAGTCAGTCGAGGAACATGAATTTAAGGTTCATATTTCAGATGTGGTGACTTCATTAGCTTTTCCGAATATATTTAGTATTATGGTTCCATTTTTCAGAATGATTACAGCAGCAAGTCTCGAGATTACGGGACCTAGAATACGGAAATCTAATTGCACCCGTCCAAAGTAAACCAATTACCAGAGGGAAATACCATTAAATGGATACCAATTTGGAATAAAAAGAAGATATTCGAAAGGAAATTTAAACTCTACCTAATTCTAACAAAAAACCTTTAGGCTGGCATTTGGACACCAAAGACAAAACTAAAATAGAGAAGACAAACTGACTAATGTACCATCTCATTGGTAGTTCTGTCTAGATTACAGATCTGTTAAGGTTGAATTTCCAAATCATCAGATCTCACACACTAGGAAAACCACACTCAGGTCCTTCTCCTTCTTTTTCCTTTTTTGTTTAATCTATGTCAATCAATGAATCAATCAGTTAGATCGCCTCAATCTCAAACTAGTTGGAGTCAACTATATAATAAATCCTCTTTCTCCATTCCGCTCTATTTAGGTCAAATTTATTCAAATACTAAACCTTCGACCTTTTCCGGCCAGTTAGGGGTTCTCCTAAACTAAAATTTCTCTAAATCTCACATTATGTATAAGTATCTAAATGGACTAAAAAAACTCCTTGCAAACACCAAACCTCGTACAAGAGTAACAACAACAACAACTATGTCTTAATCCCAACAATTAGGCATTCACCCGTACAAATCATTTTCCTTCATTGGTATTCAGTACTTCATTTATTAGTTAAAGAATTACAACTAACTTAATATAGCAAACAGATCACACACATTCAATGACATCACAACGACAACAACAACTACGCCTCAGTCCCAAACAAGTTGAGGACATACTTCAATGACATTAATTAACTAACTAAAGGCTAATGAAAAATCATACTATAACTAATAAAGATTCAAGAACATAGAAACTCACTAGCTGGAAGAAGAGGCAAAGGAGAAGGCAAAGTCTCTTCAACATGAACAGAAAGCTTAGTATATCCAGCAAAACCAGAAAACAAACGTGGATGATAAAGTTCCCAAACAGCAATAAGCTGAACCAAACATGTCCATATTAAAATGCTGGAACAAACCCTTATGAACCAAACTTTTAATCTTGTTCTCTGTATCACTTGCCCTTGTTGTAATGGCACTTTTTCACTTCTAATATGTACCTCACTCTCAGATCTAACCTCCATTTCTCAAATCATCACACCCCTCAAATCTTCCCATGCATGTGATAATAATACACAATTGCATCAAAACTTTAACCACATTGGAAAATGGTATATTCTTGGCCCAGATTAACTAAAAGATTCAACACCCAAATGAAAAAAAAATTGAAATTTTTCAACACCCAATATAGAAAAGATTTGAACTTTGGAACAAAACCAAGAAATGGGAAATTCCTACCCCAGATTGACTAAAAGATTCAAGACACAAAATGAAAAAAATTAAACTTTTCAAGACTCGATATTGAAAAGATTTAAACTTTGGAGAAAAATCAAGAAATGGGAAAATGGGAAATATATGAATGAAGTAAAAGATGAGAAGCGGTGATGAAATTAAAGTAAATTTAAGTTTTTAGAATGCAGCAGAAGAAGAAAGGTGTAGTAGGGACAAGAGTCAATATTGCTTTAAATGAATTTTCCTTTGCGATCTTCTTATTGAAAGTTTTCTTCTCTGTAAAAAGATTTAAAAAAAAAAAAAAGACTGTATCTGTCTTCAGGTTTCGTTGCAGGATCTAATAAGAAAGAAAATGGCAGAGATGGGAGATCTCAGAATATATCAAGAAAGAAACAAAAAATTAACTATTTAGCTTTGAATTTTTTACCCAATAAAATGTACCTTTTAATTACTCTTAAATATTTTTTATGTAACTTAACACTTCCATTTTTAGTCTAGTCCAGATATCATATTTTTATATTTAGTAAATTTTTAATTCTAATTTTTTCATTTTATCGTATATATTTTATTTTTATAGGAACGACATGGTGTGTTTGAGCAAAACATTCAATGCATATTTTGGTATGGTTTACATATACTTTGTTTAAATTTTAAGATTCAAAAGTCTTATTTATATTTTTAAATTTCATATTTAGTCAAATAAAATACGTATAAACTAAAACGAAAGAGTAATATGTAAGTTGAATACAAATGCACTCTTGAACAGGGATTGAATCTAAACATCAACTCGCTCCGTCTCAAATTATTTATCGTATTTCTCTTTACACGCTTTTTAAGAAAAATATCAATTAAGAGGGTATTAGACTATTTTATTCTTATTTATGTCTCAAGATACGGGCTCTCTTTACTGAATATTTACTTTATTTATGTTATATTATCTTCAAAAACAATTACTATTAAGGATATAATAGAAAAAATATAATTAATTTTGTTTTGAACTTTTAAAATAATGACTAATTTTTAAAATTACGACAGATAATTTAAAACAGAGGAAGTATAATTTACTAACTTGATAATCACTAAGTCAAAGCTTCCTTGGTCCAACAAATATTAATGACAGCAGTAAATTGTTTTAGTTTATAAATCAAATCAAGTGGCATAAAGCTGCTTGAACTTGTGATTAAATTAATCAACATTCAATTCTGAATTCTCTTTCTTCTTAAATAAACAATTTCCACTTAAATAAACAAAAGAGAAAGAATGATTCCCTTTGACCTATATTACGCCAGATAGTGCGTGGTTTGGTGTATGGAATTTAAAGATTTTAGAATGACACGTGAGAGGTTAATTATTTTGTAATCCACTATTTTAAAAAAGGATAAAATAAAGCATGTAATTTGATGGATAATTTCTTTATAGGAATTAAATACGCTAACAATGAAATAATTACCTAATTATTGGCGTTTTTGTTCGCCATAGCATAGAATGGAAACTTCTTTTGGTATTGATGAAATAGGGAGTACTATAGTACTTACCTTAATGATTAAATTCTATTATGAATATTTCTTTGGTATTGATGGAGTGAATTTAGAAGGAAATGGTCGATTGATTCCTTTTTCTTGTTTTTTAGTCTTAAATAAATTACGATTTATCTCCTACATTAAATGAAATCAATTTTAAACTCGAAAAATCTAAAATATTTAATGTCAAAAGGATAGTAAAAACTTTTACAAGTAACCTTATTCGAAATTATGTTAACATTTTCTTGCGAGTTTCAAATTCTTTCAGAAAGGAATGTAATTGTAGACTTGTAATTTTAACATTTGCAATCCACTCTATATCATTTTGTATAAACCTGAAGTTTTTTTTTTTTTTGGTCTATTAAAAGAAATGCATATATTTCAGTGCATATACTGTATGTATTCAGTTAAATACTCAATGTAAACGTGAGGCACTGACAAAAGTCTTTCATGAAAGGGAGAAAGAGAAATTAATAGAATTCGATCACAATTATAATTCTTTATTTCGTGTAAGATGTTCTTTTAGTTATTTTTCCAAGAAACTTTCCCCTAGTTATAGTTTGGTAGAATTGAATGTTCTTTTGCATGGTATGACCTATAAAGTACTCCCTCCCTTCACTTTAACTTTTTACGCCCCCTAAAAAATAATAATGCATATTTTATTGGATTTGAGAAAATGACTTGAAATAAGTAATAAATACTGTGGGTATAACAGGAAAAAAAAATTATCTTCTCTTGATATGCGTAAAGTGACAAGTAAAAAATAAAAATCTATTTTTAGTATACAAGCCAAGTAAAAGTGAAGGGAAGGAGTAATAGAAAGAATAAAAATATATTTGTGTTCATATTAAACTATATTAACTTATTATTCCCTCCAGCTCACTTTAAATGTATTTTTGGCTCTTTTCACACATATTAATGAATTCACCTTTTAGCATTAATTCATAATGAAATTGACCATATTAACCTTAATTTGCTCATTGGAAATATAACAAACTACTCCTAAGCTCTTTACTCCAGGGGTAATTTTGGAAAGAAGAAGTTAACTCCTTCTCGATATCTGAAAAAAACAAATATTGTGGACCATAAAAAAAAAGCTAAAAAATCACTTAAAGTAAACTAGAGGGAGTATAGTGAAGTGATTTAATGAGATAAAAATACTTACTCCCTCCGAGCCACTTTAATTAATTCTTGGATATTTTCACAAATATTAAGGAATTTACCTTTTAATATTAATTAACAATAAAATTGACCATGTTAACCTTAATTTATTCATTGAAAATAGAACAAATATTCCTAGGCTCTTTACTCCAACGATAACATTGGAAAAAAGAAGAGTTATTTCTTTCTTAATATATGGAAAAAAAATTAAATATTGTGAACCACGAAAAAATGCCAAAAAAGTCAATAAAAATGGACCGAAGGAAGTACTAGTTGTTTAGGTAAACAAAGTTTAGTGTAAATAGATTTTACAATAGTATAAGAGGCGAAATTAGAGGGGCAGGGGACAAGAAGCGTTTCTTTGAAGTGAAGTTTTATTTTATGCAAATTCATGAAAAAGCCAATACAAGAAGATAGCAATCATATCTGTTATTATTATGCCGCGTGAACTAAAAAGAGACAGCATTTGACGTATAAGAGGATGATCATGCTTGCCATGTAGTCACAATATAAAAATGAAAGAAAAAAAAAATTAGACTGCAATTTATGGATTTATTTCAAATATTAAAAAAAAAGGTAATCCGGTGCACTAAATTACCGCTATGCGTGGAGTCTGAAGAAGGGCCGGACTATAAGGGTTTATTGTACGCAGTCTTACCTTGCATTTCTGCAAGAGACTATTTTCACGGCTAGAACCCGTGAACTCCTAGTCACATGACATCAACTTTACCAGTTACGCCAAAATTTCCCTTCAAATGGCATATTTAAAAAAGTTACTAAATCTGGCGATTGCTTGTTTTAAAAAAAAGGCTTTTTTTTACAAGTATATTCCCAAAGTCCTTGAAAAGTTGTATTGGGATGACTATTAAAGGTGAGTTTAAACGTTTGCTTAGTTTGAGTATTGGGATGAGAATGCTAGAGATAACGTCTTAATCAAAAGATTATTAAGTTGATAAAGCAAATCCCCTTTAATGGTAAATGCCAAAAGGACCTTTACCCTTATAAGCAAAATAAATATTTTGTTCCTTTTCTCTTCCATATAATTAAGGAAAGAAATCTTTCACCAAGATTTTCAATTATGCTCAAAATTAACAATAGCAAATCATAGTATTTGTCATTGACTTTCTTAACTTGAACATTTTACTCTAAAAAAGATGGTTTAATTTATGTCTCATTTGAGATTAGAAATTAGTAAAATCTACTCTTGAAAAATATAAAGAGACTAAATTTTGGAATGAAACAAGTAGTATTCATTAAATCCGTAAAAATAGCACAGTATAGTCAGTTTTCGGACTGGTCAATCAAAAATAGCCAGCATTTACCAAGTCAATGAAAAATAGCCACTATTTTGCTGCAATAGAGACCGGTCCAGCATAATATACTGGAGTTCGGTGCACTTGTGTATGAACTCCAGCATATTATACTGGACCGGTATACTTTGTTGGCTCCAGTATAATATACTGGAGACTGGAGCATCGGTGCTCCAAACTCCGGTATATTATACTTGACCAATATACTTGCTGGAACTCCAGTATATTATGCTGGAGTTCTAGTGTACTTATGCTGGAACTCCATCATATTATGCTGGAGTTCCAGCATACTTATTCTGGAACTCCAGTATAATATGCTGGAGTTCAAGTATACTTATGCTGGAACTCCATCATAATATACTGGAGTATTTTCTGGGTTTTGAACAGTGTTTTCGCTCAGATTTATCTTTATAAAAAAATTGGCTAAATTTCGATTACTTTTGAAATTGGGCTATTTTTGAACGACCGGTCGTAAATCTGACAATTTTTAAAATTTACCCATTAAATCCAGAGGAAAAACTTTCCAATATGTTGGCTTTTCTCAACCATATAACTCTCCAGAGAAGGCACACTTCTCAAGGATCTCCCCTAGTAATTATTTTTTGTAGAATTCTGTCAATTAACACATAATTCTAGCTAAGCATGTGCTAACCAATTTTCGAACTGGTCATTCAAAAATAGCTCGCGTTTGCAAAGTCATTGAAAAATAGCCACTATTTTGCTTCAACACAAAAAGTTCCAGCATAATATAGTGGAGATCGGTGCACATGTGTATGAACTTAATTCCAGCATATTATGCTGGAACTCCAACACGCGAAAAGTTTCAGCATAATATACTGGAGATTGGAGCACCTGTGTATAAACTTCCAGCATATTATACTGGACCGATATATTATGCTGGAAGTCTAATATATTATGTTGGAGCTTCAATATACTTATGTTGGAACTCCAGTATAATATACTGGAGTTTTAGTATATTATACTGGAATTCCAGTATATTATACTGGAGTATGTTCCGGATTTTGAATAATGTTTTCGTTCAGATTTATCTTTACATAAAAAATGGCTAAATTTCGATTACTTTTGAAACTGTGGCTATTTTGAACGATCACTCGTAAATCTGGCTATTTTTGAATTTCTCCCTGAAATCTACCACTATCAAAGTAAAATACCAAAAGCAGAAAAACAGAAGCTAGTTGTTGTTGATGAATTGCAATTCTAAGAAACTAAAATCAAGTGGTGGTAAAATAATTGTATTTGGTGATATTCTATACATTATTTTATGCGAAACAGAATATAGAATAATAATATGAGTATCAATACGACATGGATTAAAACACTAAATTGACAGAACTAATCCACATAACAGTAAACAAACTCTTACTTTG